GGTCTCGTTCTCCAGCAACCGCCGAGGGGGCGCGGCGGCTGTGACGGGGCCCCCGGGGTAGGGGCTGGCTCCGCTGCGTCGCTGAAAAATACTTGGTACTTCTCGTTTTAGAAGGCGGTGGTGATAGCGCTTCCTGCTCTGCCTTCCCAGGCTGTCTCGGGGTTCCTCCTGTGCAGAGGCAGAGACTTCCAGCTTGAAATTACTGCGCACAGCTTACACTTTACGGGTCTCTGTCTTTGGGGTGGTTTCGGGGCACTTGGTGTCTGCAGACCTCACTTGGAAAGCAAACTCTTACTTAGACTAAAGTAGCATCAAGTGGTGTGGGTCTGTGTGCCCTTTGGTTTTCTCACTTCTGGTTTTGTGGTTTTGTAAGACCATGATTCTTTAACCGTGCTCCCTGCTGTTAAGAGTTTGGATCAAAGCGGTCCCCAGTTTGTGGTGCCGTTGCAAAGGAAGATGCTAGACACCCTGAGGATTTTGCTCTGCCTTTCAGGCAGGCCGTGGATAATACATCCCTGGTAAGCTAGAAGGCTTGGCCCTAGCTTTCTCTGGGTGACGTTTTCAGTTGCTGTAGGGCTTGCAGAAAGTCTTTATGAAGGCTGTGAAGGTGAAATTTCCTACCTTGTCCTACCTGGCCATGATTTTCATAATCTCTCTTTGTTGCTTGTAGGTTTCCAGGCCGTAACTCAAATGACACTGATAAAAACTTTTTGCCATCACAGGAGGACTTGGTATCTGCAGTTTGCTTTGGGAAGAGTCGTCTAAATGTTTGTTGATGTTCAGTAATTCCCTTGCCTGGTTTTCTACGTAGGAAGTTTCCTTAAACATTCTTACTGCTGAGTAGGGCTCCCAAATATTGGTGAAGAATACAGGTTGTATTATTTCTTGTTTTGCCCGAGTCCTTCTTAGGAGCTTAAAAAACTGTATTGAATGGCTCTTTCTTCCTCTAGAGTTAATAATGTTTGTACATTTGTTATTTTTCAGGTACCTTTAAAACCAGGAAGGAGTCTTATGGATTGGATTCGACTAACTAAAAGTGGGAAGGACTTGGCTGGTTTAAAAGGGAAGCTAATTGAAGTGACCGAAGATGAGCTTGCTAAGCACAACAAAAAGGAGGACTGCTGGATATGTATAAGAGGTTGGTTGCTGTGACGTTGCTTTGGCTTTTTTTTGTCTAGCCCCTCTCTTCTGTATTTAAGAAGCAACAAAACCCAATCAAACAACAACAACAAAAGCCACACCCCAAAACAAACTATGTGCCATCTATGTGTAGGCCAGGTGTAATCTTGACGTAATAGGACACAACTTTGTTCAAGTTAGAGGTTTTACGTAACAAAGCTTTTCTTTGCTTTCAAGCCTTTCTTAAGAAGTCTTCCAAGTGGGCATATTTTATCCCTATTTTATGTTTGCGTATGAAAATAACAAAACACAAGATTGTAAGTGGTGCCTCAAACAACAAGGGCTTAGCAAGAATAAGGTACTGAAAATGCTGACGTGTACTTACACTCCTCAGTCTTGGCGAGTTTATCGTCCTTAGCAGTTGAATATTTTTAGGGGTTGCTTTAAAGCATCTAGAGACATATAAATATTAAAAATGTTACTTAAATCTGTAGAATGGTCTTTGGGAAATAAGTGTGTAAGCCCATGTATTACTTCATAAAATTTAGTAAGGCAAATGACAGTTACCATACAGAGCAGTTGTAATCTGTATCTAGCATAACAGATACCTGTGGTAACTGAGCCATTCTATTTATGTTACTATTTTTATGAAATTTTAGCTCAAAAGTTGAAAGTATTGTATGTTATAAGTTAACAGTGTGCGAAAGGTGGTTTGGAGCAATAGCCCTGGCTAGAAGAGTATTTTCAGTGCTAAAGATGAAGTCCCTAGTTGTCTTACAGAAAGGAGTAAAATGTTTACTCTCTAGTTTAATTATTTAGAGGCTAAAATACATTAATATCACCTTAAATTTGTTATGAGATAACAGCGCTTCCTATGAAGATAGATTAAGAAGATAAGAGTAGCTGTTGTGACCTTTCTGTAGGAAGAGTGCTTCATGTTAGTGGTAAAAGTTAAGAATTTCTTTATGAGGGCAACTAGGGTTTTGTTGGGCATTAAAGGGGATGAGAGTGAAGGTAAGGGTAAAATGTCATTCAGTGCTGGCTTTTGAAGAAAATAATAGGATTGTTAATGCTCTGTGTGCTGCTCTTGCACATACTAGCAAAACTATACTGGGAGGAGAGCTAAAGAAAGCTTATTTACTGTGGACATCTGTTCTTTTTTTCTCTCACAAAAAGGGACATCTAATCCTGCAGACAGAATCACTGCTTAAAAACATTTCTGTTTTGTTTTTAATCTCTTCCTCCCCCCTCCCCCCCCAATTGCATCTCTGAGGTTGGTTTTTACAAGAACTCCATCATGCTGCTTCTGTATCTGTCTTTAAATTTTCCTGTCTCAGCCTCTTCTTTGTTCTAGAAGTACTGATGAAAAAAACAGCATAACTGAGAATCCTGGTAGATTATCTGTAGACCTGGTATGTGGACAGGTAGTAAAATAACACCATTGTGGAAAAGCTAAATTAAGTCTTTGCATTGGTAGTTAGACTAGCTCTATACGAAAGAGCAGAAATTGATGAGAGGAATGTGAAGCAGAAGAAGATTAGGAGCTAACTTTATTCGAAGACCAGTATGGTGATCGTCAAAGAAGGCTGTCATATAGGCCATAAATATATAAAGTGGGATGTCGGGGGGGGTTAAAAAAAGTGTGAGGGATATATATGAAAGATCTCTTTTGCTCCTGGAAGTTTGGTAAATTGAACATTTGGCTAATATTCAGGAAGTCCTAACTGTAGATATTTACTTACGTTTTCTTGTGTGCAGTAATCAGTGCTGCACGCAAGATGGCGTAGTGGATACATCCATCAGAAGATCAGGTCAGTAGAATATGCAAAGATCCTTCCTTTGTTGTCTGGGATGGTTGTTCTTACCAACTAGGATTGTCCCAAGTATGTCTCCCCTTGGCCCAGTGCTGAATGCCTACCTCTCCTTCTGAAGTAAGTAATGTACACTTCTTAATGTGTTAAAAGCTTCTTATGAAAGCACTGGCACAGTTCCACTTGTGGTAGCTTCCTGTTTTGATAATGAGAGTGAATAAATACTAAATTTAAATGTTCTGCTAGGTAGGCCTGCAGTAGTCCTCTAAGCAGCAATATGTCTGTAGTTAAATCTGTTTATAGCTGCATTCTTCAGGCTCTAATTACTCGCAACAATAATTGGACTTCATAATTTCAGACCTATGAAGAAACATTGTTTTATCTCCCTGGAAGTGTGAAGAATAGTACTCAAGTGGAAAGAATGCTGAGCCCTTTTACTGGGACAAATTTGGTACCA